ACACACACACACACACACACACACACACACACACACATATATATACATATATATAGCTCAAATGAAACTCTTTTCCAAAATGTTTTCTGCAGAATAATAGGGGTTTGTTACAGGAAGTGCACATTGCCATGTGTTCTGTAGGCGTTGGGTTAAATTTGGATGGAAGCAGCGGTTGCTTGTGATCTTACCATGACATTCGGTGAGGTGGTGACGGCACTTCCATCCTCCAGGTAGTGTGTTTCTGTGTAGTGACTAGCAAACAGCCCTCTGTAACACAAATACAAATACACACAAAACTTAGTTACTTTCACTTGTTTCTTTAATTTCCTACTCCAGTCATTTTACTTAGTCAACATTAAGTAAAAATATATTTAGTGTTAGTGATTTGAACAAACCTTTAACCCTTTGTATTAAACTTTAGCTTGTACCTAGTCCTGAATGATTTGTTCAATCTTCTGTCTTGTTAAGGAAAGATGTGTTGATGCTTCACTAAGCTATCAACTAGTTAGCTAAGCTAGCAACAGTCTAAAAACACTCAGAGCACCCTAGCAATGGCATAGCAACAATCTAAATCCACTCATAACACCCTAGCAACTGCACAGTAACAGTCTAAAGCCACTCATATCACCCTAGCAACTGCACAGTAACAGTCTAAAGCCACTCATATCACCCTAGCAACTGCATAGCAACAGTCTAAACACTCAGAGCACCCTGACAACAGCATAGAAACAGTCTAAAGCCACTCAGAGCAGCCTAGCAATGGCATAGCAACAGTCTAAAGCCACTCATAACACCTTAGTATCGACATAGCAACAGTCTAAACCACTCAAAAACACCCTGACAACAGCATAGCAACAGTCTAAAGCCACTCAGAGCAGCCTAGCAATGGCATAGCAACAGTCTAAAACCACTCATAACACCCTAGCAATGGCATAGAAACAGTCTAAACACTCAGAGCACCTAACAACAGCTTAAGATCACACAGATCACCCTAGCAACTGCACAGCAACAGTCTAAAATCACTCAGAGCACCCTAGCAACAGCATAGCAACAATCTATATCCACTCAGGTCACCCTAGCAACTGCACAGTAACAGTCTAAAGCCACTCAGAGCACCCTAGCAACAGCATAGCAACAATCTAAAGCCACTCAAAACACTCCAGCAAAATCATAGCAACAGCGTAAAGCTACTGTATCTTAACGTGCAAAAACTCTTTTCACTAAAAAGTCATTTTTCACTGAAAACTAATTTTCAGCTGACACAAAATGAAGTCCTGCCAACTTTCACTCAGATATTAAGTCAGCACGATCAGCTGCAAATGATCACGGATCAAAGACAGGCAGCAGAGATCCCTCAGCCTGTGAAAGCATGCCCTAATTCTCTCTCTTCCTCTCTCTCCCTGCTGAGATAATATTCTGATCAGACCATTACCAACATCTGCACTCGAACGCTCCTCACGCAGCTGTGCTTTCTTAAGCAGAACCTGAACATGACAAACTCATGACTAGGATTACAGCACTGCTGAATCAGAGAATAACAACCTCCCGTAAACACACACACACAAACACAGACAGGCTTCTGACAGTAGAAAGTCTGGGTCACTTCACTCTGACCATCCACTTCATCAAGAAACGACCGTCTCATTGACATGTTTAGGGTGGGTTTATCTGAAATTGATGGCATTACACTAATTACAGTAAAAATCTGTTCAGTTTGTGGTCTGCATGTAATTTATGTGGTGGAATAAAGTGTGAAATTCATTCTTCTTACTGCATACTGCACATTAGTTTTCAACTTCCAGGAGAAACCTGTCGATCTCTTCTCACCAAACTTCACCCTTTTTCACTTGAACCTGTACTCTCTTAAATCGAATTAGATGATCTTAAAGCCCACAGTGGGGCTTCATGTGGAAAAATCAATGAGACCCTGCAGTGAATTCACAACAGAATCTGAAGGTTTCCAAGAAACTAAGAACAAACACTTGAAACTAAAAAGAGCTTTTCAGATCTAAAGAAAATCTCATAGAGGTACGTAGAGACCATCTGATCTATACTGCACACTCAAAGAACCAGAATAGGACTGTGATTTAATTGATTTTTAAAAGATTAGACAGATTAGACAGTCTTATAATTGAATGTAAAAGCCTAATGCATTGTTCTGACAGCAAGAAAATTAACTTCTGATTAATGTTTATTATAAAAACCGATATATTCTGTCCTGGTTCCCGTCCCGAATGCTGATTGGTCACTAGAAATCTTTTGTAACATTATAAATGTCACTGTCACTTTTGATCAATTTAATGCATCCCTGCTGAATAAAAGTATTAATTACTTTCAAAAAACAGATTCAGATAACAATTATGAACTTCAGTTTAAGGAATAAATCAAATAATCTTCTTAATACTCAATAAAATAGCGTTTGTGTTTCACAGTATGCATTCACTGTTTTTTAAGCAATAATAGGATGTGAATATAGGATTTTTAAAGGAGTTGCAGAAACTCCATGACTCATTCATTCTGCAGCCCGACCTCTCGTCCCTTTTCGCTTATTTATAATGGACGGCTGTTTAATTGGTCCCACCTCGCACTGTTTCACTATGTTTCACATAGTAAATGGGATTAACAACACATGTAACTGCAAAACACCATTTGGCAGGGGTTTAGTAGTACCTTAAAACCCAGGAAGGGACCAGATGTCTTCAAATCTGCTGCTTGATCACAGACGTATACTGACAGATGTAGCTCTTGTAATCACACATGCAGCAAAAGCAGATTTACAAGCACAAACTTATGAAGGAGCAGCAAATCGAAGTCTGAACTACAATCTGAGGTCCGAACCGCTTCCAGAATGATTCTCAAAGGTGTATTTGGAGGCATATGTTTAATTCAGCAGGTTCAACTCAACATGCTAGATCGTCCACGGATCGTCAAAAGCCAAAAATAGGATTTATGCTTCTTTTTGAGCTCTAATTTGGGTTTAGAAACAAACACATACCATGAGCATTGCACAGGGTTCCCGTTCCTTTGGAACAATTAACTTCCATGACTTTTCTAGGACTTTTTCAGTCATTTGTAAGGGTTTTTAAAAACTATTAAATAGAGAATGCACTCACAGAGAAAAATAAAATATAGCTAATATAATTTTAGCCAAGTGTAACTAGATAAAATAAATATACTATAGAAATTGCATGACCTTTTAAGACCTTTCCAGGCCTGGAAATCACAATTTTAACATTTTGAAGGACTGTGGGAACCCTGTTATAACTATAAAAATCAGCAGTGCATTTCCACCAAAAGGATCATCTAATATCTTCCAGAAACTACTAAACTAAACTTCTTTTCTACTTAACCAATCATTAATAACGTATAACCATTAAACTGAAGAAGCCAATGAAGACCATGTGTGCGTCCTTCATGTTATGGCAGATTTATTCATTTAGCAGATGCATTTATTCAAATCAGCTTATAAATGAGTACAAATACAAACACATGAATCATGAGGAAACTGTGGAAAAACGTCCAAAATAAACATCCAAAATCAGCAAGAGAAATACTAAATGCATTCTGCATTTACAAATGGAAAACTCAGGGGACTCAAAAATTTATTTTCTGTCATTATTTACTCATACTTCAGGAATATAGTTTATGAGTCATATGGCCCATGCACTTACGGTACTTTTTTGACCTTTTTGAACATTACATTTTCATTTTTGGGTGAAGTTAAACCACTGCAACACATCATCTCGCCACTACCATCCCAAATCCTCATTACATCTCATTAGCTCGTCATCTGACATCACCAGCATGTCTTTGAGAAGATCTCGTTCCAAAACAACATACATTCAGTCAAGAAACTGGCTAAAATAGAGGTTGAAATGACAAGCAGCTATAAATATTTCCTCACCGACAGAGTATTACAATGTTTCTGGGACCATTTTCTAATTTATTTTTCAATTATTCACACGAGAAAAGACCAAACAGAGCGAAAGATTAGCAATTCTTTGTACGAAGGAGAAAAAAAAGAGAAATAATTCTACCTTTCATGCTGTGGAAAGATGACTGCAGTAAAGCCACAAGCAGAAAAAAAAACTAATCAAATCATCAGTCACTAGGGGAAAAAGACACAGCAGGGTGCTGTTGTTTCCCCTGGTCACTTAATGCTTTGTGTTCTTGCAAGATAGAAAACTAGAAAGGGACACAGGGGTGGACAGAGGAAAAACAACAGCACAGGTTCTCTTTCGAGCATAGAAGTTCAGCCTAATATGAAAAATCTGTCATTATTTACTCACCCTCTCATTAATTTTTTCTTTTCGATACAACAACACTTCATAATCATCTGTCAAACTCCAAAGAGGACAAAAAACACTCCATAAAAGCATTACAAAAGCAGTCTGTACAATGTGTGCTATATTCTTAGTCTTAAATCACTCGACAACATTATGCGATGAACAGACTGAAAAGTAAATCTTTACTCACTGATAATCTTAAAGCTTGGAAAGTTTTGCCTGAATTCATGTCCAACTTCAAAAATAGTGCATACTTTTTTGTGCATTATTTTTTTTTATTATAATAATAAAAAATATTTTTTTAAATAATTATTTAATATTATTTAAATAATAAGTGGTAATTTATAAATTATTTAATTAACAATTAATCAATTCATTTAAAATGACAAATTATTCTAAATTATTTAAAAATAATGACAAATATATAATACTTTACATTAAATTACATTTATACTTTTATAAGTATTTTTTATAAAAAAAATTATATATGCATTAAAATGATTGTTCAAAATTGTTTAATTTTTAATGTATGTGATTTTTTTATTTATATTTATTTTATTTTATTTCATTATCAGTAAATATCAACCTAAATTAGTCACTAATTCACCTAAGTAACTTCAGAAGACTTGCAATATGTGTTAGCTTGTCTGTCTTTGAACTGAAGATCTGTTCACAATGAATGTTGGAAGAAAGGAGCTGTGTAAAGATGCTTAAAGAATATATTCTCCTTTTGTGTTCTGCAAAAAAAGAAAACGGCATGAATGTCAGTTCGGAACAACATGAGGGTGAATCATCACAGAATCAATGTTTTCTTTAACACTGCAGCTCTGCCAGCTTTAAATGAAGAGCAAACACACTGGAACACATGAGCCTGATTTTATTTTCATGCTGAGGTAAGACACATCCAGGCTGGAGTCCAGCCCTTCACTAGAGAGAAAAAGATAGACAAAAGAGAGGAACGAACGACGAGGGGGGCTGGAC